CAGGGTTATCAGGGTTAAGATGTATTTTCATGGTAATACAGTAAATAAAGTTGCATATTACTGTTTTACTTTGACAAAAGAGCATTTTATTTAAAAATATATAATTTTGGATGGCACATGATGGCATCTTAACAAGCGTCTATGTGATTCATATGGTGCTAATTGACCCTTCACAAAGACTCACCCCCTTTAGTTACTGTTGCTACATCCGACACTAAGCTCTCAGGCCACATATCATGTTCTCACGCAGTGAAAAATTCATCACGAAGCAAAGAGGACACAGACAACCCGCCGTTAATACCGTTTGTGGCTCTTTAATGTGTCATGACTCAGTTCAAGCAGCACGTGAACCGATCATATCTTCCTCTATACTAATTATAGCACGAAATGAACATGAATGAACATCAGAAGGTATCTCAACCGCAAAAAGACATCACCTACCATTTTTCAAGTTCAAGTCCACCGACATTAATCTGCTCTCCTGTCTAGTTTGTCAGAAAAAATGGCAGATTCGGTGTTATGATTGGTCAGATCGCCTGTCAATCAAACTCCAGGCGAAGGGCGAATTGTGTGAGACTTGAAAAAACATTTGTGAATTATGTCAATTTAGGCATTTTGTCAACAAAAACCGATATACACCACAAATATTCAGCTATTTCCATTAAAAAAAAAGCAATTTCAATTACAAATTTCAACCAACGGAAAACGCTACTTTATATATATATATTTTTTTTTAATATATACTTTCGTCGTCGGGACCATAGTGACAAACGGCTTAGTTTTAAAGTGGCAAAACGGTATTTTCTGGGTAAAAATGTTATCTTATTATATTACTTTAAATATTTTTTAAAAAGTAAGAAAACCTACATTTGTAATCTATCCCACAGCCCTTTGCATGTTAGCGAAGCGTTTGCAGCTTTTTGATTTTGAAAAACGCATGCGCGAGCTAACGGCAAAAGCAATGCAGTGCGCGCAGGAAAAGTGTGTGTCACTGGGTTTTTTCGCTTGGGCTTTGCTCTTTCTCAGGCCACAGGCCGCGATCATAAGAGAGCAATGTCGAGGCGTCTGCAGTTTGCTTCTGCTCCTCACCGAGTGTACCACAAGGCCCTTACAACAACATCTCCGCTGAGGGCCGCGGTGACATAACTCATCCTTACCGTATTAAAGATGGGCCACTTGTGACTCCACCAGACTTTGGCCCATGTTACGCATACCGGCACAAATCATTACGGTGTCGGTTCTCAAGGGCATCGGGTCCTTTGAGAGCCAACTATATCACCATGAAAAGAATGTTCAGTGTTTTTTTATGTGAGGGAGCAAACTCGGGTGTTTATATTATTTTCCCTCCATATTTTTAGTGTTTTTTTTCTCATATTAATCCACAGTCCCCTCCTTTTCATTCTTTCCATTGCTTTCTTTTACACATTTCTCCCTCATTTTCTCATCCCTCTCTCTCGCTGTCCTCTTCCAGACGCATGTCCAATAGGACAGAATAATATTTGGACAGGTGTTCCTTTTTAAACACGTTATCCACAAGTCCAAGTCCGCAGGGGACTGCACTACATCATTCCTGAATCGTTTCTCTATAAGATGGATCTGAGGTTAAAATATACAGTACTGGCTGAGTCACACACAGCCTGCAATACTGTAATCTATAGAGCACTACATCCGTAATCCCTGACAATAAAAATCTGTTTAGCACCAATTTTCCTTTATTTTTTAAACGTTCTTTTTTCCTGTTTCAAACAACTGCAGAAAGCCACATCTGGAAGACAGATGTACGTCCCACAGCAAGCTCTTTCTCTGTACTTCTCTCTCTCTCTCTCTCTCTCTCTGTGCTTAGAAACATGAGAGCAGGCTTGTGTCTCTCGCTCTCTCTCTCCCTGGGCGGACCACCCACATAAGAAAACGCCTTGCCATACTGAAGGCAGAAGTACAAGGATGGGTTTTTTTGATGGATGGGTTTAGCAGACTATCACTTATGTCAATGTCAAAACCATAAACCTGCTCTTGCAAAAGAGGGTGAGAGAGAGAGACATCTTTGCATCTGTCTGTCTGACGTCTTTCTGCAGTGGCATAAAAGCATTTTCACAATATTCTTGTCTGCTTGTGGCTCCTGAAACTGTTAAAAGACTAAGCCGATGGGCTGATTTTTTCAGACACATCCTTTCTGTTTAAACTGATAAATCCCATACAGAAATGCGATATGTGGCAGGCAATACATGTACAGTACTTGGATAGATGATATGGTGGCCTCAAACAGTTTCGGGACACTTAAGCAGCACTTGTGTGTATGAAAATCTTTGTATTATATAACAAACAAAAAGATATCACAAGCACACTTTTCAAGCAAAACATTCATTTACATTCATTCATTTAGATCATTAACACACTTTGTGAGGTTATAAATGCTAAAATAATATATATAATGTACACAATATACACTATTTGGACACTTTCTGGTTATTAAAGTATAATGGATCATATTCATAACTAATGAGATGAACTACACATCTGCGAACTGGAGATCTTACTTAAACCCACTAAAAATCTCTACAACACCAGTTGATTAAAGTCACTGAGCAATAAAATGTGAAGAAAAATGTGACTTTAAATTGTGTTGGATAGATGATATGGTGGCCTCAAACAGTTTCGGGACACTTAAGCAGCACTTGTGTGTATGAAAATCTTTGTATTATATAACAAACAAAAAGATATCACAAGCACACTTTTCAAGCAAAACATTCATTTACATTCATTCATTTAGATCATTAACACACTTTGTGAGGTTATAAATGCTAAAATAATATATATAATGTACACAATATACACTATTTGGACACTTTCTGGTTATTAAAGTATAATGGATCATATTCATAACTAATGAGATGAACTACACATCTGCGAACTGGAGATCTTACTTAAACCCACTAAAAATCTCTACAACACCAGTTGATTAAAGTCACTGAGCAATAAAATGTGAAGAAAAATGTGACTTTAAATTGTGCAAAAGTGCCTAAATACTTTGTGTCACTGTATATTATATATGATTCGATGATAAAATCTGATATTTTATATGTGCATATATGTAACTTGATTTTTTTATATATATATATATAATACATTTAATACGTACATATATTACAATATAGGTAAAATATATTTTAAAATTGTTTTTTTTAAATATTATGACAATTCAAATTTAATTAATTACAAATAAATACTGGTATTTAATATATTTACATATGCCTATAGTTTTTTTAATATGAAAATTCAAATTTAATTAATTACAAATAAATGCTGGTATTTAATATATTTACATATGCCTATAGGATGCATACATATATGGCCATATGTGCATGGGATTTCATATTTGCTTGCTTTTTTCTATTAAATTATTTCTTAACTCCAAACCAATGGCTAAAACCAGTGATTGCAAATGCGTGTATAAATAAAACACGGAAATTAGTCACACCATCACTGATTGTTTTCATTATGCAGCTTTATTTTCATATTCCAGAACAGCTGCAGAAACATTTGAACTGCAAACCAATTAAGTGGCAAAATTGCACATGAGAATCGCTTACATGAGGAGCGTTATTACATTTATGCTCATGCGATCAGTCTGAAAATGTGTAGCATGCGTTTGTTCCATAGCAGCTGTTTAGTGCAGCGCAGTGATGTAATAAAAACAGTTATGCACCTAGATCCGGAGATGTTTATGGCCTGTAAACAAATCCTGAGTTTATAGTGTGCTTAGAGTTCAATGCTCACTTCAAAGAAAGCGCTTCAGGCTTACTGTGATTTTTACTTGTGCATGTGTGAAATAAAGCTATTTGGTGACAGTGTAAAGACAGTGATCTTCACTCCATTGCTCCATATACGCTGCTTATGAATAGTTGCTCTTTAAACTCAAAACACATAACATCTAGTGTTTAAGGCAAAAAAAAAAGCTTTAGTGCAAAACTTATGGTGCACACAAAAAGTCTGAGAAATGGATCTCAAAGACACAGCTTAACCCTTATCTTCTGCTCACCATTAGAAATTGAATTTGTAATACTTGCTTTTGCTGTTAAGCTATGAAGATTCTTTGAGCACTTGAATGCTTGGTAACACTTTAGAATATTTTTCATGAATAACATTAACAAACATTAATGTATATATTATGCTTAACAGATCATTAGTTAATGAGCATTCAAATAGTATATACAGTACATGTGTATATATATATATATAGAGAGAGAGAGAGTTAAAATCTCAATTCTAAATCTAATTTAAACAGATATAAATGGAATGTTTTAATTTAAAGATTACAAAGATACATTAAGAAATACTTTAGTATTCTGAATTATTTTTGGATCAGAAATTAAACAAGCAAGCATGAACATTATCAGTTTTACACAAACTTGTGTAAAGTGCTTGTCATTAAAGCAAAAGGGGAACAAACCAAAATCCACAACTCTGAAATTGATATTAATTGTTAAATTCAACTCAAATTATTAAGTTAATAATTAGTGCTGTCAAACAATTAATCACGCTTAATTGCATCCAAAATAAAAGTTTTTGTTTACATAATATATGTGTGTACTGTGTATATATATATATATATATATATATACACACACACACACACACACTTGGATGTATATACTTCAGAAAATATGCTATGTTTATATATTAAATATATTTATTTAGAATGTAAATTATATGAAAATAAATATAGACGTGTAAATATTTTCAAAATATATACTATACGTGTGTGTAATTATATATACATAATAAATATACACAGAACACACATATTATGCAATCAAAATGTTTTATTTTGTATGTGATTAATATGAAAATAAATATAGACGTGTAAATATTTTCAAAATATATACTATACGTGTGTGTATTTATATATACATAATAAATATACACAGAACACACATATATTATGCAATCAAAATTTTTTATTTTGTATGTGATTCATCGCGATAAATCGTTTGACAGCACTATTAATAATACAATTTGTAATGGGGAAAAAAAGCATGTATTAAATAGAAAAACATTTCATTAGCGTTTGTAATGACTTCTGTAGCTGACTATATATTCATATTTGAATGTTCAAGAACAACTGATCTGGTGTTTGATGTTCTTAGTGACATAATGAAAATTACAATAAACTCTTACCAAATTTCCAAGTGCTCACTTGGTTTTTTGTTTCCGTCTACCCACCTCCGTCGCCACAGAGCCCACCGTTGCTCCCATGGCCCCTCCTACGGGCCCCCCGACGAACAACCCCACGATCGACCCCAGTAAAGCACTGCCCCTCACCATATTGGGGAGCCACCCGACCACACTGTCCCACAACCAGCGTAAGAACGAGGTGTCAGGTGTGGAGACGCAGAGCTCTGCGATTCCCACAACCACCAAATCGCCCACACTTTTCTCTGCTTCGGCCCTTATTCCCTCCCAATCATCCTCTCCTTTTTCTCTTCTGCTTCTCAAGATCTCCTCCTCCTTCTCTTTCACTCTCCTCTCTGCCTCCTGCAACAGAGGGCAGGTGTAGAAGTGTGTCCCGCTTTCTTCCACCAGCTTCTCCACCTTTATGAACAGCTCCTCCACGCTGGACCCCGGCCGCAGCGGGTGATGTCGGTCGCTGCACTTTTGAACGAGCTCTAGCAAGTCGGGCCGCTCTGTATTGAGATAGTCGTCCAGAGAAACATCCTCAGGCAGTCGGTCCATGCGAGTGAAGAGCACCATTGCATGTTTACTGACAGCCTCAGGGCCAAACACCTTCTCGATGGTCTCCAAAATCTGGAGCTCCAGGTTGCTGGGCCGGTGGATAGGGACACAGAGCAGGAAAGCATGGGGCCCCGGGGCCGACAAAGCCACCAAGAGCGAAAACTGGCGGCGGACGTCCTCAGCGGGACGCTCGATGCACAGGCAGTCAGGTGTGTCCACGACAGACACCTGTGCAGAGAAGAAGATAAAGATTAGAAAAAGGCCCCTTCTGTACACTGTGAAATAATACAGCACTAATGGATCTATTTGAATAGTCAAAATAAAAAAGTGATTTTACCATGGTAAAGAGGTGTTTAAGTATAAGGTACAATGCAGTTATTACTTTAACTGTAGGTAACACTAAGCCACTTACATATTTTATAATCATTTTTATTGAATGTATAATATAATTTTTTAAATATTGAATATTTTATTCATAATATATTTGGTAAGACTTTGCAAAAAGGCCCTATTAGTTAATGTTAATTCATTAACTGATATTAACCAGCATTAGGCCATACATGTTACATTATTTATTCATCATTTGTTAATGTTAGTTAATAAAAATAAATTTTAAAAATTGTAAAGTATATAAAATGGTATTAACAGAACTTTTGTTTTTAATAATGTAAATGTTGAAATTACCATTAACTGCTTTAGACGTCTTTTAGAAGTAATTTTCTTTGTTAGTTGATGTTAACTAATGTAGTTTATAACTATAACAATAATAATAATTAACAACTATAATTTAAAAGTATATTTAAACTAGTGCTGTCAAACGATTAATCGCGATTAATCGCATCCAAAATAAAAGTTTTTGTTTACATAATATATGTTAATATTTATTATGTATATATATAAAAACACACACATACAGTATATATTTTGAAAACATTTACATGTATATAATTATATTTATATTATTTATATTACAGATAAATATATTTAATATATAAACATAACATTTTTCTTAAATATATACATGTATGTGTGTGTATTTATATAGACATAATAAATATACACAGCACACACATATATTATGTAAACAAAATCTTTTATTTTGGATGCGATTAATCACGATTAATCGTTTGACAGCACTAAATTATATATACTTATAACGTAATAATTAACAATTATTACATTTTTATCTAATGTTACCAAATGTAACTATTGTAAATATTATGCTCAAGTGTACGCTCATTATTGTATTTAATTTTTTTATTATGTTTGTCTTTTTGAATCAAAGGTTTTGTAGACAAATATTTTTGTAGACAAATATAAATTGAGCTAACATATTAATTTCTTCAAAAAACTACAATTTTAATTAATATTTATTTAAATCTTCCAGGTGGCATCTCAGTTTTATGAATTACTGATTTTATAAGAACAAAAGGCAGTTAAAGTTTGCTTAAAGTCAGCTAAATTTGCACAATTACTGTTAAGGTTTATGACATGCATACAAAATGTGAATATAATGAGAACATAACTGTGACTCGTTTTATTAAATGCTTTTGATATGCCTAGTCACATACTAGGAAATCATTTGAATGCATTGATGCAGCTTTATTTTACATTTTTAAAAAATCTGTGCAGACTGAGTGTGGCCTTTCACAGAGTTTTAAGTGAGACCTGAACGCACCTGTCGTCCTGCCAGCGTCACACGTCTCTTCTGACAGTCAGTGGCTGGTGTCTCAGGGCCTGTACAGTCGGACTCAGATGTCGGGCCGCCCAGGATGGCATTGACCACACTGCTTTTCCCAGCACCCGCTGAGCCGAGCAGCACCAGTCTCAACTCTACAACCACAGACAGAAACAGTGTGATTAAAGACAGACATGAGTTACAAAGAAACCACTTTTATTTGCCTTTTTCCCACTAATAATATTAGAAAATGTGATTTATTTACATTTTAGATTTAGTTTAGAATAAATAATTAAGTTGTGTTATTGGTTTTATGAGGGTTGATTCATAATTTCTGAAAATTTCATTACAATACTGCATTGCAAATGAATTTGATACTTTTTTAATTCACATTTGATTTGCATTTAAAACACCTTGAGCTTTATTTTAAAATCTTAGTATTTCATGTTTGAGTGGTTATGTATAGTATATTTACTATTATTTAGTAATACCAGCTGATTTGTTGTAACATATGAAACATGCAAAAAAGTAGGGAACAATAATTGTATCTTTATTCAGAGTTCGAAATATAATGTTTTATTGAATGCCTTTTAATGTTTAAAGGAGAAATAGTTTTTGATCAACGTCAGTTAATGGTGTGACAAACCGATACAAATCTGGGTTTACCAAAGCAAGTTTCATATTTTGAATATTTAAGTGGAAAATCATGTTTCATAAGCACAACAGCTATAGATATCTCAATGAAAACAATCTTTTTCTTTCCACACAAATATTGGAGCTTGTAATTCCATGGGTTGGACTTCCTAAAAACCAGGATAAATAAACTGGTCCCATAGCACCAGACCTGACTGAACAAAATGAAACAAGCAATGAAAAGAATAAAATATGCATAGTGCCGCAAAAATGTGTTTTTTTTATATATATTTTTAGATCAAACATTAATGGGCTACTTCATAATCCATGGGCAGGCAACAGGTTTAAACGAATGCTGAACATAAATAAGAAATGTCTGAAGTAATCATTTTATTAAGATAAAAACAGATCAAAAGTGAACTGTGTGTGTACTTACTACATAAAATTTTAATTGAACTTACTACTTAAAACAGCAGGTCTTTATGATGCATTATACAAACAGATTACCAGGATATAATAATGTGAAAGCCAATTTTGCTACTTCTGCATCACATAATTTTGATGCAATAGCGCCACCTAAAGACTGAACTGACACATAACACCTTTCATGATATGAAACATCAGAAATGCAACTTAAACTGCGACATTTAAACTTAGATTTGCTCTAAGCTGTGAGTGTTGCAATCAGCAGGCTGTGTGCTATGCTTACACCCGTCTCAACACACAAATAAAGCTCAATTACTACACTATATGTGGGTCAACAGCATAAAAGTGTGCTTTTTATATTTGGTAAGGCTGTTTTCTGAAATGAAAATGATCTTCCACCTTCTAGTGGGTGGGCCGACAGTTTAATGAGGATGCTTATAAAATGATTTCATTTTTACTTTGAGTGGTTGAAGTGGAACATACTGTAATTAGCAAGAGAAAACACCCAAAAAATAAAAACATATTTGTCTGTTTCAAGCATCTCGGTAAGGGATTCTGTAGTTTATTAGGAAAAATGCCAAGCCATATAAAGAGAAAGAAACATAAGGACAAAATTATGGCATGTGTTTTTATGTGTCTTATAAGTCTTTCATAAAAGGAAAAAAAAGGTACAAAAGCTGTCACTGGGGCAGTACCTTTCCATATTAGTATCATTAAGGTACATATTACACTACCACAGATTTTGTACCTTTTTACGAGAGGGGTTACTCAAAGACTTCATGTATCCCACTATGTAAATTATGTTACATGCACTGCAAAAAAATTATTTTTTATTTTTTAAACACCATGGTACTATACTAGACATGAAGCTTCGAGATACATTACAATGGTACATTTCTAGAAACAAGGTATTACCATGGTAAATTTCCCCCCAAAAAACAAAAACAAGGTATTACCATGGTACATGTCCATAAACAAGGTATTACCATGGTAAATTTGCAAAAACAAGGTATTACCATGGTACATGTCCATAAACAAGGTATTACCATGGTAAATTTCCAAAATCAAGGTATTACCATGGTAAATTTGCAAAAACAAGGTATTACCATGGTACATGTCCATAAACAAGGTATTACCATGGTAAATTTCCAAAATCAAGGTATTACCATGGTAAATTTGCAAAAACAAGGTATTACCATGGTACATGTCCATAAACAAGGTATTACCATGGTAAATTTCCAAAATCAAGGTATTACCATGGTAAATTTGCAAAAACAAGGTATTACCATGGTACATGTCCATAAACAAGGTATTACCATGGTAAATTTCCAAAATCAAGGTATTACCATGGTAAATTTGCAAAAACAAGGTATTACCATGGTACATGTCCATAAACAAGGTATTACCATGGTAAATTTCCAAAATCAAGGTATTACCATGGTAAATTTGCAAAAACAAGGTATTACCATGGTACATGTCCATAAACAAGGTATTACCATGGTAAATTTCCAAAATCAAGGTATTACCATGGTAAATTTGCAAAAACAAGGTATTACCATGGTAAATTTTCAAAAAAACAAAAACTACCAACAATCACTGGTTTAAAATGATCACTTTAAATGTAAACTAAAGTGATGGTGCAGTAATTTTTTAATGCATACTGATACTTGTCGAACTGGATACTGCATTAAGCAAAACTTTTCAATTAATAATGCCACGAAAAAAAAATAATTCATAGGCATATTTGATACCAGTTATTCTGCAACCAAAAGTGTACTATAAATGAGGGTTATGTGAGGGAGGACCTTGTCCACTGATATGGTTGGGGTCTTTTTAAAATGATCACTTTAAATGTAAACTAAAGTGATGGTGCAGTAAGTAATTTTTTAATGCATACTGATACTTGTCGAACTGGATACTGCATTAAGCAAAACTTTTCAATTAATAATGCCACGAAAAAAAAAATTCATAGGCATATTTGATACCAGTTATTCTGCAACCAAAAGTGTACTATAAATGAGGGTTATGTGAGGGAGGACCTTGTCCACTGATATGGTTGGGGTCTCCATGTCTGTGCACATCATTATAAAAATATTTGTGAAATTAACTATGAATTTCTTAAGGTATAAAAAGAAAAAGAAAAAACTTACTGCACCTTTAAAATGATTTTATACATGCTTGCCCTGTAAACGTGCTAAAAGTTGAAACCTATAATATTATTACAACATTTGCATTACAAAAATACAATATGTAAGACATAAAATGATGACAGTGCAGTTAAACTGCTGTTGATATAAATTAACTCAACATTAAATTAGAAAACAAAACAACATTTGGCCCTAAAATGAAACTGCACATAATTGTATAAAACATGTTTTGGACATTATGAAAGCATGTGAACTAGATCACACTCACAAACACATCTTAAAACAGACATAAACACAAAACTAAACACAAACACAAAAGAGAAACTTCAAAAGTGTCCTCTAAAAATTGGATATCTTTTTTTACAATACAAAATGACTAACATTTTAAATACTATGTTTAAAAACATGTCAGAGGCTAAAAATGTCCACTGATCAGAAAAAGTTTAAAAAAAGAAACTCTGGTCCTCTTGTTTGGTGCTTCTGGGAATGCGTCCAAATGTAGCCCAGTCTCTTGTAAGTGTCTTTTCGGAGATTCATAGTCCAGGCATTATGTAAGCGATGTTGTCCAAAGTATTTGACTGCAAAAAAGTGGGTGAAGAGTTGAAATCATACACTTTGTATATCAACTGCAAATAGGAAACTTTTGTAAAGGTTTTGGATAAAAACAGTTCATTATTGGGGGGGGGGGAAACTAGTGTGTGAATGTGTCTCACCAGGATGTTGCGTGGACAGCCGTTGAGCTGGGGAACTTGTGCTGTCAAGCAAGTTAATGGACCAAGAGCACACAAAATAGAGTCTAAAAGCACCGAAAGACTGCCAGACACTGCCACCATCCCCTACAGAATGAACAGAGATGCTTATGGACATGATCTATATGTGGACAGGCCCCTACAAGGGACATATCTGCAGCACAAACCTCCGTCTCCTGAAGTCGGTGTCCAATCAGAGACAGCGATTCGCCCAGCAGCTGCAGGTGAGCTGCTGCATCTATGGGATCCACATCAGGTACCCGCGCCGGAGACAACGACATAGCCAAAGACGAGCGGCCCTGAGGGGCCAACCCCACCCCTAAACTGACAGCTTTACTCGAGCCTGAGATAAACAGATAAGCAGGGCTATTCAAGAAATTACTCAAGAAAAATGTTGATGCATGAGTAAAAATTAAATTTATAAGATAGGTAACTTGGAATTCTGTCATGACAACTCTTGGAAAGTTTAACATGGTAATATACATGACAATGTTAATGAGTTTGGTCTTGGCGGAATAGATCTGCTACGCTGCTGCTGCTGCCAATACATCCAACAACATGCTGCCGTGAGCATGTAGAAAATACACATAACATATATGAAATAACCCCCATATATAGCATAGCCTACATGATCACCCTGTAGCAGATCTATACAGGTGGAGCTGGGGAAGGTGGAGGGTTTCTGAAGCGTGCTGCAACTGCTACAGCAAGCACTAGCCAAGTATCTGAATGTTGAGGAGCAGCTCATTGGCTGCTGATGTGAAAAGAAACCAATCAGCTGTGCCATGCCAATCAGATTGAGTTAGAACCAGCGCCATCTAGAGACTCATGACAGAACTTTGTATAAACTGATCAGCTTTGGTCTCACCTTTACTTTTACTGTCTGAGGTTGTTAAAGTTTTCCGCTTGACCGTCATAACTTCAGCTTTATTCTGCTTGTGCTGGAGATATTGAGCTTTCTGTCTCCAAACCTTTGTTGTGAGAAAGAGGACAAAAATAGACTGAAATTACAAAACACTTACAAAGCACTTAAACATGAAAACCCATTTTACTTGTTATTTTCAGTAATTGAAATAAAATAAAAAATAAAATTAGTCGAAAAACTTAAAATTGAAAAAAAAATCTAATGAAAACTGAAAATATAAATTCAAATTCAAAATATAAAAAGATCATTCAAATTATTAATAAATACTTTAGTAATAAATAACAGTAAAATAACACTGGCTACTTTATTAGCATTAACTAGCGTTGTTAAAGTTTTCCGCTTGACCGTCATAACTTCAGCTTTATTCTGCTTGTGCTGGAGATATTGAGCTTTCTGTCTCCAAACCTTTGTTGTGAGAAAGAGGACAAAAATAGACTGAAATTACAAAACACTTACAAAGCACTTAAACATGAAAACCCATTTTACTTGTTATTTTCAGTAATTGAAATAAAATAAAAAATAAAATTAGTCGAAAAACTTAAAATTGAAAAAAAATCTAATGAAAACTGAAAATATAAATTCAAATTCAAAATATAAAAAGATCATTCAAATTATTAATAAATACTTTAGTAATAAATAACAGTAAAATAACACTGGCTACTTTATTAGCATTAACTAGCGCTAAATTGCTCTTAATAAATGGATAGTTTGCCCAGAAATGTAAATTCTGTCTTGATTTACTCTAAATAAATAAATAAATATTATGAAAGTCAGTGGCTACCAGCAACTGTTTGGTTACCAACATTCTTTAAAATATCTTCTTTGTGTTCAACAGAAGACAGAAATTCCTCCAGGTTTGGAACAACTTGAGGGCGACTAAGTGAAAGTAAAATGTTCATATCCTTTTCAACTACCCCTGGTAAGTTGACTGGTAAGTGTTTACCAGTTTATCTTTTTCAGGCAGCTGTTTCCACACCTCTGCGAGTTTCTTACTCAGCTCCCCGAAGACTGAGGCGGAAAAAGAACAAAATTTCAACCAATCGTGAAACGGGCACAGATGATTGACAGGTTGTGCACAGAACAACAGCACTCACCTAATCCGGGCTGCTCCGCGTTGATATTGACCCTGTACTCCTTACAGAACACCTGATAGGCTGTCGTGTTCTTCTTCTTTGGCTGACGAGATGTACAAAGCATTAATTAATGATAAAATCAAACCGGTCAAGGCATTTCCACTGGTGTAGGGAAGTGATTTAACTTACTTTGTCCTTGTCATGTTTGTCTCTGTCCTTTTCCTCCTCCTTTTTCTTCTTCTCGCCCACCAGTTCAATGCTTTGATGGTGATGGGATGAGGTGGGTGGAGCCATAGCGTACATGCCACCAGATGAGCTGTGAGAGTGGGCGTGGTTTCTAGACTGATCATCTGTTTTGCAGAGGAGGAGACATTTAAATTCAGTAAAATTCAATTTTATGTAACAATGACAATACCAACCAATCAGTATTAGCTTTAAAGTAAGTGAAACATGTCTCACCTGGACAGCTTTTCTTCCCTCCACTTCCTCCTTTGCTGTGTTTCTTCTCCCTGGATCCTTTCTCTCGGTCTCGCTCTTTATCTTTTTTCTTTTTGCTCTTCTTGCTCTTTTTCTTCTTTTTAGACAGATATGTGTAGGAGTCGTCAATCACCAGCTCGCCGGCCTCTAGTTCTCCTCCTGAAGATGAGCTGTCTCCACCCATGCAATGCCCTGATGAACACAAGCTCACACATTTAATGCTGCAATACATTCATGTTAGGGCTTAGATGGTGATTTTAATACAGTATATCTCATTCATGCAGAAAATCAACTTCAGTGCAAACAAAACCAGAACATTTATACATTAGTGGTCAATTAGTGGTGTATGTGAGGGTTTTATTAGGTTTTTTTTTTTTTGAGCGTTTGAACAAATGGATGTTGAATGTTTGTCATTATACAGACACCATAAGTAAAGATTGGTCAATATTGACTTTTTATGACTGATACAGATAATGTTTGGTTCAATTAAGCAAAAATAGATTTGAATTCTGATCGATTTTCTCTCAAAAACATTATTTTTGTTTAGGCTTTTATGCAGACACAATTTTAAAATCTTGTTTCATTTCTGCTTGACTATTATCATTAGACTACAAAAATTAAAAAAAAATTTTAGTCAAATTATTACTTTATAAAA